CTCTAGATAGCACACATCAAAGATAGCTGGCAGCTGCACAAAAACCTCCCCGCCAGGTCAGTCCCCTTGCAATCCAGAGTAAAATTCTCCCTTCTCATAAAAACACGGTGAGGGATACAAGGAGCTATTAAATCATGTGAAATGTTAAGAATGAAGATAGCTTTGCATGCCAGCAGACTCCCCCAGGGGCTCTGGGTCTGCCTGTCCTTGGGGAGGAGAGAAGGGAGGACAACAGGGGAATAAAAACAGCTGCGAGGAGCTGAGGTGCTTGCTGTTAAAGGGGTGTCCTGTAGCCTCTAGGACAAAGACAGGCAAATTTACTCAGAAAGGGTTGCAAAGGAGCCCAAACACAACCTGCACAGTGTGTCCTCAGTGCCTCCCCTGTGGCCGTGCTGCTGCAGCTCTACAGACACCATGAACATTTACAGGTGGACTTGATGACCTTGAAGGTCTTTTCCAACCGTAATGATTCTATGATTCTACGTCTTGGTCAGCCACATGGAGACCCAGCAAACTCATGCCATCTTTGGCCTGTTTACAGCTCTAGACTGAGTTGCCTGCTCTAGTCGTAGATGTAAAGCATCTCTGTAGGACAGGCTATCCTGGCAAGCAAAGAGTGTTCTGGGCAGAAAAAGAGTTTGCAGGACAGGAAAAGCAAAAGATGAGGAAAGAAAAGATGCCTGATTTTTCTGGAGGGCAGAAAATAGCCAAGATGTCTGTGATTACTGCAAGTGCTGTATGTGTCTTCTTGCTGACAGCATCAGGCAGAGTCTCCCTCCACATCAGGCTGCTGGACGTTTGCATGTGCTGTGTTTTCATGTGTGTTTTCATGTCAGGAGCAAACAAGAGCACTCAGCCTGCTCTGACTGAGCACCCTTACCTGCTGCCGTTCTCCCATCTACCTGTCAGAGAGGACTTTGTTATTTTTGCCCTTCAGTGACATCTCATTTTCAAGACACCATCCAAAGTTATTCATTTTTTAGGATCCAGTTTCCTCTCAGCACACGAGTTTCCAAGTTGACCTGTGACTGGCCTCCAAAGACATTTTAGTTGGGCTACCACAGTCTTTTTGTCTTTTTTTTTTTTTTTTTTTTTTTGGCAATTTATAGACAGTTTTATGTAGGATAAACTTCCATACAGAAAGAGTAGTCAAGCATTGGAACAGACTGTCCAAGGAAGTGCTGGAGTCACCATCCCTGTCAGTGTTCAAGAAACATGTAGATGCAGCACTTAGGGACATGGTTTAACAGGGATAGTATCGAAGGGCTTAAGGTCAGATTCAAAGACCTCGAAGATCCTTTCCAGTCCTAATGATTCTAAGATTCTGTGTGGCTGAATGAGCTGGACTCACTCACTTCGTGCAGCTAGGACTGCAAGCTTCTTTCAAGAGTCTGATTATTAACAAAATGCACTTGAAATGGAATGTTACTGCATAAATTAAAAACAAAAATAATTCTCATGAATTAAAGTGAAAAAAAGATTTTGGTAGAGAAAAAGAAAGGATTTTGTTTCAATATGTACAAATTCCTTATGAAAGAGTAGGGATAAATGTTTGATTTTTTTTTCAATTGTTTGATCAGATGTTACAAGAATGACAGCTAAATCTTCCCACGTTACCAAAGCTAAGAATTTACAACTCACTTCATTTGTATTTAAACAGCACCCAAGCTTCCCTGATTATATGTTTCTAACCCATTTATATATTTACCACCTCTTATCACTTCCTTGGCTAAGTGCCCAGAATGTATGAAGGCAAAAAAAGCTTTTCTCCCATCTTGATGTGGCTTTTTTGGTTTCACTTGGAGCGCCACACACTGCACAAAGTAGGACATTGCCGTGTGTACGTCACTGGGCTTCCTAGCTGGGTTAATAATTAGCACTTCTCTTTCTACCTGAGGGTGTTGCTTTCTTTTAAAAGCTCTTTTGTCTTCATAAGCCATTTGTAACACTCTAAGAGGATAATTGTACAGAGGTATTTCTGCATCCCTCACCCACTAGCTTTCCTGTGACTCATGTAAGAAAAATCTCAGCCACGACAGCAGCTATAGCCTCTCTGGAGTGGTTCTGTTCCCATGCACAGAGCAACCAGCTACCTCAAATCCACACTGTTCACAGAAGCTTTGATTTTGTCACTGTCCTTTCACAGCATGTTGAATCCTAATTCATGGCTAAGGGAAAATCTGCCTTAATAGCTACATTGGTACCCCATTCTTTTAGGTATCAGTTTTATCATCTCAGCAATCATGCTTCCATTTTCTTATTTCTTCATTTCTTCAAAAAGAGAGGATCTTAAAATCTTGGATGCTTGTTCACAACAACAACAAAAAAATCTACTCTCACTGCAAACCAAAGGCACAGGACATCTTCTAAAGGAGACTTTAAAAATATGAAATGTTATCAGCTCTTTCCAAAATCTATTTTTGAAAGTCGAGCGTTAATAGAATGCTTATGCATTTAGCAAAAACAACTTCATGATGTCCAAAGGATTCAAAGCCAGCTTTGTAAGTTAAGCTAACTTAACAAGAAACGCTTTGGCAAGTGCATCCATTGCCAGGGCTGTTAGCTCTGGGGCGCATGCCTGCATTAGGCTGGGCTACTTCCAGAAGAGTTCGTTGGCCCCAGGAGAGTCTTGCAGTGGCCACCTGTCCTGTCAGTAACTCCGAGCAGTCCGAGGGAGTTTGATTTCTCAATAGGTGCTTGGCTATATGGTAAAAATCATCACAAAAGATCCTGTCCTTTTGTTAAAGATCCAGGAGACAAAGAAAAAGAATAACAATGGCTCTGGAGCCCAGTGCTGCTTCCCCTGCCTTCAGCCCAACACACCAATTAAGTTTTTTTTTTGTTGTTTGCTTTCTTTTTTAATTTCCATACCCTTCTTAACAAATTCTTTGGGAGTTAATCACATACATTTTGGTCTGGATGAAGAGAGTCTTTCTTTTTATCATTTTTTGCTGCTTTTGTAAGTTACCCTGTGCAGCAGAGTGAATTGGCTGTTTCTATCCAGTTTAAAGCATGTCTCCCTTGCTGTCACAGCTGCAGGACCGTATAACGTGGGGATGCTGTCCCTGAGCACTGCTTGTTTCGGAGGCATCGCAGCCACACACGCACCTTCTCCCCAGGCTGATCTGCTCGCTGACTTGCCCACAGATCTCCCTGCAAAACGTTGTGCTCCGCAGGGATAGATTGTGAAAACATTAGGGGTTTGGCTTGTACTCATTCAGAGGCAATGTTGCAGACACCATCCATGTATTTGCTGGGAACAGGCACTTTGGCTGAGTGGAAATCAGAACTTTCTACTTACCCCACATGGCATTGAGGCTGCGGTAGGATCGGCTTATTTGGATTGACTGTATTTATTTCTAAATTATGTTATTGTACATCTTTCATGAAAGTAATTGATCCTGTGTTGGTGTTTTGAGTATGGCTTAGTGGCTTTTGGAACCAGGCAGGTGTAGGGCACCTTTGGCTCATACCAGTGTCCCTCACTGTGCAAGAGGAGAGTCATCAATACCTTGTGCTGCCTTGTGATGGCCCCATTGTCCATCTTAGAGAGCTTAATTTGGGAGAAAAACCCCTCACTGACTAGCAGCACCCTGGCAAGAAGAGAGACCCATGGGGAGAGGCCTGACCACAGGGCTCATCCTGGAAGGGCAGCACGTACCCAAACTGCTTGGAAAGTCCAGGTTTGTACCTGCTCAGAGACTGTGAGGCAGCCTCTAACCTCAGGGCTGACCCTGAGCTACAACCAGAGCTCTTTTCTCTGGCCCAGGTCCCCTCCTGCGGAAGGAGCTGTTTGCTGCTGGAGACACAAGTGAGATGTGTGGGCCCTGGTGCCCTCTGCAGGATGCTCTCCTCAGGGATAGACCTCTCTCTGGAAGCTGGAGATGCTTGGGGTGTCTCCTGCCCATGACTTGCTAGCCAAGCAGGGCCTGTCTGAGGCCCACACATCCTGTCCCGGTCAGGACCCTGGCTCTGTGCCCTGAAGTCCTTCAAGCACTGCTGCGTGTGGCAGCCGGGCCCTGTAGCCAGTGGCACTCGCCTCAGGCAGCACCTTCCTCTGGGCAGACGCTGCAGGATCCAAGCCCTTTTTTTGTGCCACCTCCCGTCACCCTCCTGGGAACTCAGGCTCCCTAATGCAGGAATGCTCCCTGGACCCACAGAGATGGAGCTGAGGGAAGAGACCCCTCTCCAGCCACCTGGAATCTGCCCTCCCCCCCAAGTGATGGCTGCAGATCTTGCTCTGAGAGACACAGACAAACTGAAAATCTCCACTGCGACCACAGGCAGCCAAGTGGTTCATTTTGGGAGGCGGTGAGGCCAAGGGAGCCTTTAAGGAGGTGGAGTGAAGGACTTGAGGTGGTGCCCAGTGCCTTGGAGCCCCTCGGTAAAGAAACCTGCTTCTCCAGGGACAGCTACTCTGCAAAGCCAAAGGGCTGTGGTGGGACCTCAGCACCTGCTCTTGCTCTCCAAACCAGGGACAGTTCATTGCCCCGGGTCCCCTTCTCCTACAAGGTATCTGCCCAGTGCAGCACCATTGGCCGGAGAAAAGGCTGACATTAAGAAAGCCCAAGGTCAGGACTTTCTAATGGTGCCTCATTCGTTCCCTTATATCCCTATTCCCTGCGGCCTTGTGTATCTTTTCCTTTTTTTTTTTTTTTTTTTTTTTTTTTTTTTTTTTTTTTTTTTTTTTTTTTTTTGGCTAGAAAAGGCCAAGGGATGCTCCCAAGGCTGTGCCCGTCAAGGGATACTAAATGTAACTTGAAATAGCACCTGCAGAGATGGCCTTTCTGGACGTAGATGTAGCCTTTATGGATAATAAAGCATAACAGCACAGCAAGAGAAAGGGAAAGAGAGAGAATATGAGAAGGAAAGAGCTGGCCCTTATGTTGATGATGCATTGACTAAACTAAAATTAATTAAAGCAGCTCATAGTTAATGTGGATAGACATGTGGGTCACCAGATATAATATTCTTCTCTTCTGTATCTTCTGCCCTTGCAGAGTCCATGCACAACCTCTCTGCTCAGCCCTGGCACATGAAGATGGCCAATCTGACCTACGACAACTTCACTGCCAGCAACCGCTCCGAGGTGACCATTCAGTCTCCCACCAACTACAAGACTGTGGAGCTGGTTTTCATCGTCACGGTCACTGGCTCGCTCAGCCTCGTCACTGTGGTGGGGAACATCCTGGTGATGCTCTCCATCAAGGTGAATCGCCAGCTCCAGACAGTAAACAACTACTTCCTCTTCAGCCTGGCCTGTGCGGACCTCATCATTGGGGTCTTCTCCATGAATCTCTACACGGTCTATATCATCAAAGGCTACTGGCCGCTGGGTGCTGTAGTGTGTGACCTGTGGCTGGCCCTGGACTATGTGGTAAGCAATGCCTCTGTCATGAACTTACTCATCATCAGCTTTGACCGATACTTCTGTGTCACCAAACCCCTGACATACCCAGCCAGAAGGACCACCAAGATGGCAGGGTTAATGATTGCAGCCGCATGGATATTGTCCTTCATTCTCTGGGCCCCTGCCATCTTGTTCTGGCAGTTTGTTGTGGGCAAGAGGACAGTCCCCGAGGGGGAATGCTACATCCAGTTCCTCTCCAACCCTGCAGTGACCTTTGGCACAGCGATTGCTGCATTCTATCTGCCCGTGGTCATCATGACAGTGCTGTACATCCACATCTCACTGGCCAGCAGGAGCAGAGTGAGGAGACACAAGCCTGAAAGCAGGAAAGAGAGGAAAGGCAAGTCCATCACTTTCCTCAAAGGTCCCTTGATCAAACAGAACAACAACAACTCTCCCAAGAGGGCCATGCAAGTCAAGGAAGAGATGAGGAATGGAAAAGTGGATGAGCAGACCTCAGCCCAAACAGAGGCTACAGGCCATCATGAGGAGAAGGAGACCTCCAATGAGTCCAGCACTGTCAGCATGACCCAGACCACAAAAGACAAGCCAACAACAGAAATCTTGCCAGTGGGGCAAGGGCAGAGCCCATCCCACCCCCGAGTGAACCCAACTTCCAAGTGGTCAAAGATTAAGATTGTCACCAAGCAAACTGGCACCGAATGTGTCACTGCCATTGAGATTGTCCCAGCTAAGGCTGGGGCCTCTGAACACAACTCGCTGGCCAACAGCCGCCCTGCCAATGTTGCCAGAAAGTTTGCCAGTATCGCCAGGAGCCAAGTACGGAAGAAGCGCCAGATGGCAGCCAGGGAGAAGAAAGTCACTCGGACCATATTTGCTATCCTGCTAGCCTTCATACTCACATGGACTCCATACAATGTGATGGTCCTTATTAACACATTCTGTGAGACCTGTGTACCTGACACAGTGTGGTCCATAGGCTACTGGCTCTGCTATGTCAACAGCACCATCAACCCAGCCTGCTATGCCCTCTGCAATGCTACTTTCAAGAAAACTTTTAAGCACCTTCTCATGTGCCAATACAGGAACATTGGCACAGCCAGATAAACTGGCACTCAGGGACCACTTTAGCAAAATTATGGAAATCTTTCCCTTTGCCTCCTTTGCTGGCGAGGGGGTCCTCTGCTCCCCGCTCACGAGAGTGCAGACTGTGCAGTGAATGCAGATGATGCCCTTCACCCAAAGCTGACAAACGTCCAAGACACCTCTGAGCTGCAGCTTTCTAGTCACCCTTGGCCTGGAGACTCACCTAGGGAACCAGAGGGAAAACCATAGGCAAGATGATGCAAGGATACAGGATTAACAGGAATCTGCCTCAGTTCCCTGCTTTTCAGATGCTGCCTCTTCTTTCCCAAGCTGACCTTCTGCAGGGCTTCAGAGCGTGTCTACCTGTGGAGGGCCTAACACTGGGTGCTTTTATCAGTCTCTTAAATCATTTATTCTCCCCAGAGATGGGTGCCAAGCATTTGTGAGCCATTTTGGACCACTCTGGCATGGATGTGCTTACAGAAAGTCCTTTTGGCCCACCCAGCCTCTCTCACAAGGCAGTCGAGATTGCCTCCTCATGGATGCTGCAGACTCCCTTTTCTTTCCCTTTAGAGATATGCTGATCTAGTGACTATGGGAAGTTTTTTCTCCAGGCTTTGACTCCGCTCTACCCCTCATACCCTTTCTGCCCCGAAATGACAGTTGGCTAGATGGTTGGATGGACAAAATAAACATCTCTCTTCTGGGTGAGGTGTAAAAACTAAGTCATCTCCTAGAATGAAAGAAATTAGAGCTGCGGAGAAGAGCACTGATAACATGTAGGATTTCTCTCCACAACCGTGAGGGAATGTGGCCTCTGAGAACCAGGCAGGAATGATAAAGTAACTGCTGTTGGGAAGGGAAACAGGGAGCTGCTGTGCTGCTCAGAGGACAGGGCTGCACAGGGCACTGGGCAGAGCAGAAATGCAGAGACAGAGGCTCTTGGGCAGGGTAGTGGCCCTGTAACACGGCAGAGATGATCCGCGTGTCGTCTGGGCCCCACTTGCCCTCCCCGCTGCCCATTGCGGGTGTGGACGGACACTTCACACACCTTCGCTGGGTGCCCTCTGGATCATACCGGGTTGGTGGGGCACAGGGGGAATCTCCTTTCCTGCCCTGGTCACAGCAACACACCCAAGGGTGTCTGAAGGATCTGGCCACTGATCTTTGTACATGGATGTAACCCTGTTGTCAGTGTTGTCACAGAGTCCTCAGCATGTGGGGTTCAGTGTACGTGTCCAGCCCCTGTCCCAGCGTATTTATGTATACAGACCAAATCAAGTATCACTGTTGCTCAGCTTCTCCCAAAGTCAGATTTTTTGCAGGTGTTTTGTGAGCGGGCACAGCTGCACAGGTGAGGGCCTGGCTGGGGCACACTGGCACGTGTGGACCACGGCTCTGGGTCTGTGCCTCCTTCCTGCCCCCAGCCTGTGACAGGGCCCTGTGGGCTAGAAAAAAGGCTCCCCAACCCAGGGGGGGCCTCCCGCTCTCTGACGCTGCCTTTAGAATAATTTACAAAGCATTACCCAAAACGCCTGGCAGGTTTTTTTGTTTGATTGTTTTTTAAAAATTATTACAACTGCAGCAGCAGAATCCCCTGAGACAAATAAAGACCTGGGCCAAGAAACCCCACGCTGGCGTGTGAGGAGTGACTGCGTCGTCCCCCAGCCCCGGCCGTGCCAGGGCGCCCCTGTCACGGCGGTGCGTGCGGCGCCGTGGGGGGCACCGTGTGGCACCAAGGCTCTTTGGGCTGCGAGCTCCCTGGGCGCAGCAAACACGGGCTGCGCCTGTGCCCATGCAGCCCTGTGCGGGGGCTGACAGGGCAGCTCTCTCTACGCTGCGACTGGGGAGCGGCATTGTCCTGCTGGTGGGATCAGGGCATCATCCTGCTCGTGGGGTCGGGGTATCACCCTGCTCGTGAGATCCCGCTCTGTGCCCGCAGTGCCCCCGGCCTGCCCGGGGGCCTGCAGGAGAGACCGGCTGCATTTGCACCCATGCTGGCCCTGCTGCTGGTGGGGTTGTGCAGCCAGAGGCCTGAGGCCTTCCCATCACACACGCTGCAGCTGAACAGCTCTGGGAAACCTCTGAAGCTCCAGGGGAAACTTCCTTCCTTGGAAGGGGGTTGGTGGGGAATGAACCATGGATGCTGCACTGTTGCAAGCCAGGTACCCTGCTTGTAGCCAGTCCCACAGCCAGCAGGCCCATGGCACCGTCCCTTAGCCCCCTGCTCCTCTGTCCGCACGGGTACTGGGGGGCTCCTGTGAATGCTCTGCAGCTGGCTGAGGACTTTCTCCCTCATTTCTTGTTCTCTTCCACACTGGCCCTTGGTAGAAAAGGAAAAGCGAAGGCCTGTCCTGAGCAGATCCAGTATTCCCCCACATGCCAGGGGCAAGGACCTGCCTGCATGGCAGTGTCTGGGGTTTCCAACACTGCATTACAGTGTAAGGACTATGGTTGGAAGCCTGATTTTTTTAAAAGACTTTTATTGGAAAAGCAAACAAACCCCATTTTTCAAAAAAAAAAAAAAAAGAAAGAAAAATAGAGAGGTATCTCCCACCCAGCACCAGTCAGAGAATGAAGGCAGAGAGGCAGCAGCCCCGGTGCAGACACACAGAGGTCAAACATGACAGAGGACAGGAGGGAAGGGGACACATGGGCCAGGCAGGAAAATGTCTGTCTTTCCCCCATCTACAGCTCTGAAATCTGCAGCAAGGAGATGGGAAGAAGCCCTGTACATCTCTGATGTGCATCCCAGAAAGCCTTGAAATAAACCCAAAGAAGAGGAGAGGAGGATGCATGGACAGTGCCAGCGGCGCAGCAGGCAGGAAACAGCACCTTCTGCAGGAAGGGGGTGGGTTTGCTCTCTATAAACTAGTGATTAGAACAAGGCACCTCGGTTAAAGAGGAAGAGGAGGAGGAAGACTGGCATTCAGCCAGGCACTGCCGAGCAGGGGCCTGGCTGCAGCGCGAGCGGCGTGTGCTTCCAGGCACCATGTCGAGGAGGTGGAGGCGAGGATGGGGTCTTCCCTTCTAATCCTTCCCCTTGCCCTTCTTCGCTGCTTGCAGTAAGAAAAGGAGACAGGAGTTAGCGCATCCCCGGGCAGCACCAGCTGCTCCCTCCGCTCGACCCTGGGAGGGATACATGCGCCAGGAGGGAACGCACAGGCACCACCGGCACCAGCAGGGAGAAGGGCAGGACCCATAGGTCATATCCCAGCAGCCTCACCCCGCCACACAAAGCCACGTGTTGCCCCAGTCCCATGGAGAAACGGGGGGAAATCCCCACCCCACTGAAGCTGGAGATGAGCTGGGGGACAGAGTGTTCTCCCTAGAGACTCCTGTGTTCCACCGTTGAGATTTCTGGGCCTGGTGCATGCAGTGATGCTACATCCTCTGCACAGCCAACCTTGCGCATTTAACCAAGGCTACTGGGCCCTCTGGGGCCAGGAATGCTGGAGACTGACCTTTGGACTTGGTCTTGATCTTGGAAGAGCAGGGCTTGGTCACATAGACAATCTCCTCACACTGGGCATTGTACAGGGCTTTCTTCAGGACGCCTGAGCGGGTTTTCACTCCTGTCTGGGCGCTGCACCCACCCCAGTTCTCAAACTTGTACTTGCAGTCAGCTGGAAGAGAGGTCAGACACGTGAGGACGGGACACAGACGGGACCCCAGCCCCTCCGAGGGAGGCCAGAGGCCTGGCCCGTTGCAATGGGCACACACCCACCTCCAAACTTCTTCTTCCAGTTGCAGGGAATCTTGCACTTGAGTTTCTTGGTCTCATCCTTGCAAGTGCCTTCGCGGTAGCCCAGGCCGCAGTCTTTGCTGTTGGGGGTGCAGGGCCCCCAGCGCCAGTCCTCGCACTCCGAGCTGCTCTTCTTCGCCTTGTCTGCAAGGGCAGGGGGAGCCGGGGCTCGCTGCTGTCCCGCAGGGCACAGCCAGAGCCTCCCTCCCGCCCCAGCAGGCCCAGTGCCCCCGTGTCCCACTCACCTTTCTTGTTTTTGCCAGCCTCGGCGGTCGCGCCTAAAAGCACCAAGGCCAGGAGGAGGAGGAGGAGGCCCCGGACCTGCATCGTGCCTAGGGAGGAAGGGACACGATAAGGGACAAGGGTGCGACACCCGGAAAGCAGAAAACAACAAACAGCAAAAACAAACGCACTGCCACGAGGGCGCTGAGAGCTGAGCACAGAAGTATCCACGTTGTGGGGAGATGTAGCGGAAGCGCTGCGCCCACGGCTGCATCCCCTGGCCCCAGCCACATACACACGCACGCAGCACGTGGGCACCTGGCAGGACACCCGGGCTGCATGTGCATGTGCCCAGGAGGGCACACACCGGTCCCTCATCCCAAAGTAGCACTGCCAGGAGTGGCTCTGTACTAGGTACCAGCTCCAGGATGTCCTTAGGCCAGCACTTCCCAGCCCCGCTGCCTCTGTCACAGAGCTCAGTCTCCTTACTGAACGCTTCTGAAACTGTCCAGCAGCTCGTGGTCACTGCAGGACACCACTGCCAGCACCGACACTTGGCCCCTTCTCCATAGCTGCATTAACAGCAGGCAGCACTGCAAGCCTGAGCCCTCGATCCTGCTCTTTCTGCAGGAGAGCAGCGAGGGCACAACCCTACCACCCACCTTAACGAGAGGCAAACTCACTCCCCACTTGCCCTTTTTGGTGGTATCAGTGCAGAGGTCTCAGTCAGATACTGACAGAGGTGTGCCTGGTCGCAGCAGGAGTGTGGCTGCTCAGACCCAGCGCCCCAAGTTTAGTCATCTCCTCACCAGACCCCCACGGCCCTGTCATTTGGGGTGATACTCATCACCTGCTCATGCACAGCAGGCACCTACACTGCGCCTGCCCAGTCGCTCTGCGAGTTTCGCTGGACCTGGCCATGGGCAGGTCGGAGACACTGTGTGCCTGGGGGGCAGCCCCAGCGCAGAGCAAGAGGCCGGGGTCAGCGTGGGCTGCCTGCCCCCAGACTCGTGGCGGAGGGAGCAGCCCCTGCATTAGGCAGGCTCCAGTGCCCCCCCCTTTCATGCGCCTGTCACTGGGATGTTCCGCTCTGAATGGAGCTGTCAGGGGGAATTACACAGCCCCGCTGGCTGAAGGCAACACTGAGGCGACGCGGGCTGCCGCCCGCCTTGCTGGGACTTATCCACGGAGTGCAGCGCCCGTCAGTGCTCGGCCCCAGCCTCTCCCCACAGCGCGGCCTGCACGGCCGGCCAGGACACCCCACGGGGCAGCGCGGCCGGCGCTGAGCCCTCTCAGCAACCAGTGGGGGGTCCCTGCCCTCTCTATAACCAGCGTGGGGTCCCTGCCCTCTCTATAACCAGCGTGGGGTCCCTGCCCTCTCAGCAACTGACACGGGGTCCCTGCTCTCTACGCTCTCTCCGGCTGCAAAGGGCTACCAGCATCCACACACTTCTTCGTGTGTCCCAGCTTTTAGGCGCTCCATGAACAACTTCCATCCTTTGCCAGGGAGCTTCTCATTGTGCACCTGACTCCATTCCCTGCTCCTCTTTCCATTTGGCTTCAGGGCTGACATGGGGCTTTGCCTGAGGATAGAGAGCGCTGGTGCTGAGATCTGCTTGGGCTGGGCTCATCACCTCCAGCTGTCCCTGAGCAGAGACCTGAGGCCCCTGGCTCACAGCAAACCCAGTGGCTGAGCAAAAACCAGCAGCAGGCAGTGCCGGAGCTCCCCACAAAGTAGTGGGTAACGGGGGCTGCACAAAGCCCTGCTGACCTGCAGACAGGGACAGGCAGCGGATGCCCCAAGGAGAGCCCTGCTGCCCCAGGGACCCATGAGCCAGCCCCCAAGCTCTCCACGTCCATGACCCCTGCACCTGGGCCCCGCACAAGGTGTTCGGGACCCTCAGCACAGACTCATCCTAGAGCTTTCATAGGTGGTGGGGAGCACAAGGGAGAAAATTTTTCAAGATATTTCTTTTTTTTTTTTTCCCCCTGCAGACAACGTGAGCATTTCTCTGCTCCCCAGTGAAACAAGAACTGCTCTAAGTCAGGCTCCAAATGACCTCCCTGCTAGTACAGCCAGCTCTGCCTGCCGCTTTGCTGGGCTCTAGCACTTGCTCATACACTGGCTCCTCTCATGCTCCTATCCAGACCAGCTCTCACACGGTCTTTCCCTGGATGGACTGTGCATGTGGGACAGCAGTCTGGAGCATATCCCACCTTGGCATCCCCATTTCCCCTTTTTCTCCCTTTCCTCTCCTTATGTGCTATGAATTTGTCTGAACTATGATCAGACCCTCCAAGAACTCATCAGATGACACTGGAACAGGACTCCAGTTACCAGATGCAACAACTAGGGTGCCAGGCTCCCTCTCTGGACACCCCCTGGGTCCCGGCAGCGCCTTCGCAAGTGTTTCTCGCCCTGCGGGCCCTGCCTGCTGCCCAGGTCCCGCACCCTCCGTGCCACCCTGCTTGTCAGGGCTTGCAGCCCCCTTGCAGACCCACTGCAGGGATCGGCTGGAATTGCAGCTCTCTGCTCGGCAGAGGCGGGTGCAGGAATGTCTGCCCTCCCTCCACAGCGAAGCCCCAGGGCAGGGAGTCCAGCACCCGCCTTGGCCAGGGATGCTCAGCCCTCCCAGCAGGAGCTGGAGGGGGAGGGAAGAGCTTTCCCAGGAAACAAGACAGGTTCCAAGCAGGGCACTGCTGGAGAGGCAGGAAGGGAGTGAGCTCCGGGAGTTGTGAGCGCGTCCAGCAGGAGTACCCACCTTCTCCTCAAGGTGCAGAATGGTGTTTGGCTCTGCTTTTTGCTCCATCTCCTCTAGAAACCTGCTTGCTGCCTATGAACTGAGTGGGGTGGAGGGGGGGGCAGGCACACTTCCACACATGTGCTCGCCTCGCTCTACTCCTTTCCCAAGACAATTCCTGTCCCTCTTCGCTATGCTGCCACAATACCCCTTCCCCACATTGCTTCCCTCCATCACCGTGCTTTACCTGATCGTTTCCCTCTCCCCCTCAGGTGTGGGGGGGTTGCTGCTGGCCAAGCCCCGCTCTGGGGGAGCTCCAGATGCTCCAAGGGGTTTCTGTGGTAGCCCCCAGGTCTGGTTGCAGCCACGTCTGCTGGTAGCAGCTCCTGCCACCTCAGGTGATCCTGGGAGAGCCTCCGGCGGTGCTCGCAGGGGAGCCGGGATCACACCTCACTCCCCGCCTGCTGCCTCTGCAGGGGCCCTGCTCCCCTCGGAACCCCCTTCTCCCCGCACTTCCCCCCCCCGCCAGCCCCGGCTGCCTCCTGCGACAGTCGCCCCACTTCCCAGCCGCCCCTCCGCAGGAGCCTTCTGCCCGGCCGAATCGGGACCTCAGCCCCCGGGGCGCCCCGGACACCCCTGCCCGAGTGGGAGCCCCCCTGCCCGCCCCGGCCGGGCACAACCCCGGAGCTGGGGGCGGCTGCAGGGCCCCCCCTTCTCCCACGGGCC